TTTAGAGGGACCGCAGGAGCAGCGGGTGAAATTTGTTGCCTTGCATTATCTAAGTGATTTGGTAACATAATGGCAGTTTTTGGCCTTCTGCAATTCTGGCCCCATTTTGATTTTTACCTTCTTTCTATTCCCTGAGCCCCCGCAGAACTGGTTTCTATGAAGCATCTGCCGTATCCTGAAGCAACCTCTAAAATACTGATTTAGAAGTAGGTTTGGGTTTCGGAACAACAGTGTTGTCCTCAAATCAGGCTCAAAAGCACACGTGTCTACAAGTGTGCCTTCTATGGTTGCTTATTTCTTATCAGATACTTCATCACCAGTGAATTTTTTTGTATCTTCTAGATAATCACGTATTAATAGTATAAAAGTACTGTTAATACAAGGCTATATTTTTTGAACCCTTCACACCCTTGTGTCTCACACAGGTGATTCTGAGCAGAGGCTGGATTATTTAGGTGTCTAAAGAGCCCTGTTGTGAAAAACACTGAACACACCTTCCACCTTCCTGTTACATCCCTTTGGAAAATTGCCCCTGGCATCTGCTGTTTAGCATCCCCTCAACTCACATGAGCTTTATTTGAAGCCAGCTTGGGCAGGCAGACCGTTATGGACAGATATAACAATTAGCTCTCTCAGTAAGTGAGCTGATGAAGCCTCATTTTCTTATGGATTTGTGGCTTATGTTGGATTTGCTGATGTTTGTTGTAGTACTGCCCTTGTTTCAGAGGACAGCGATACAGTTTTCCTCCTTTCTTTAACTGTTGATTTTCATGTAACTTCTAAGAAGCTAGTATTTTCAAGTTTTCTAACGCCTATCTGATTTCCTTGACTTTTGCCAATGGTACAAAAGTTACTGGGAGGGAGTATAAAACAGGATAGACACATTGCTGCTGCTGCTTCTTGAGGAGCTTCGGTCACTGGAGGTCTTCTGCCAAAAAGGACCCAGTTAAGAGGAACTTACTCAGATTGATCTTTGTGGTCAAAAAGAGATGATCTGCTGCCAGAAGTTTGTATTAAAATATGTAAGAGAAGACCCAGAGCAAATTACAGACTTGAGAAAAGTCTTTTCCTTTGTTATTGCCCAGTTGCTGTTCCCAGTTGAACAAGGCATCCAGATTTCTTGCCGTCAAGCCCGTGGCTTAAATAAGCGTGGGAATGAGAGAGCATCAGCACAATAATTCTGTTGATTATACTGTGATTGAATAGTGTGAAGTAATAGGTGAGGGACACATTAGAGCATCAGCCTCTCTGCGTAGTAAATGTAGCAGCAGCTATAAAGAAATTGTGTTCTGGTACATCTGACCTAGTGTACAGCTTGCTCTGCTCCAGTGTCTGGAGGGGTTTTGCCACCCGCATCAGTGTGAGCTGGCTGGCTGCTGCTGACGTGCCTCACGGTATTGCTGAGACAAAAGAGTAGGGCATAAGAGACGGATGGGCGGATGTTTTATGTTTGTGACTTGTTCCCCAGCCTGCTTTCCACTGGGTGGACCTGGGATTTCTGAACACCTTCCTGCACAATTGCCTCGGCCTTGCTGGATCCCTGTTTTTTGGGGAGAGTATCCCACAGATCTGCTTTCGCCCCGAGCCACTTACGAGCAGTTAACAGAGGTGGAGAGTTGAGACAGCCTTTCTGGGAAGAAGGACAGAAAATAACTCAGTGTTAGCATTCTAAACCCACCTGTTTAGACCTGGATTATTTTTAAATATTTTGCTTTCAGACACTAAACTAGCTGCATTTTCCTCCTCTCTCTTTTCTTTTTTTAAAGTTAGTTTTAATTTTGCATCTTCTCCCCACCCAGCTGTATGCAGTCAAGAGTATCTATGCAAAAAAAGGATTCTTTACATGGCCAAATGTTAGGTAGCTAAGTTACCTGCTGCTTCGGAGATGCCATTGACCGCCAAGGGAACCTGGGGACTTTTTGAGCTTGGACATATGTTTGCAGGGGGTTTCGCTTGGGGAGTCGAATTGACAGGCGGCAGGGCAGCAGCCAGTGGCAAATGCTTGCAGTCACCTCATTTCACCCAGCTGTCATCACGTGTCGTCGGCCTGAAACACAGCCTGGTGTGATGCGCTGTGCGAAGGGTCGGTCCGTGGCAGCCCCGTCCAGTGCATGGTGTCCTGGAGCTCAGATACAAAGCCTTTCACTGAGAGCTGTGTGAAGTGGTTATGCTGAAATGCTGCTGCTGAATCCGTAGTGTCTTACAGCCACTTCTCGGGGCATGACGTGATAACACGTAGGGCTTTTAGGGAACATCGTGTCCTCGGAGAACTGCACAGACTCTAATTCATCATCCATGGATGATGTGGGCCCAGCAGGGGACATGCATCCCCTTCAAATGGCAGATGTGTGGCCTGGGGGAATCCCATTTTTGGGCTAGTCCCAGCAGCTAGGCATGAGCCCCTTTTTGGATGTTACAGACCCTCACATCTGATGGTTCACCCATCCCAGCATGGTGAGCTGGGTTCAGAAAGACCTGCTGCTCAAAGTGGCTTTGGTAACCCATGCTCATTGTTGGAGTCCAGACTGGTTTAGATCAAATTAAGCTCTTGGGCACTGAGGCCATCTCTTGTGAGAAAGAAGGAGCAGATTCTCTCTCACCTTTTAAATCACAGATAGTTTATAAAGTTGATGTAGCCTGCTGTGTAAATATATGTGGTGGGTTGACCATGGCTAAGATGCCAGGTGCTCACCAAAGCTGCTCTGTCACTCCTCAGCTGGACAGGGGAGCGAAAATACGACAAATCTCATGGGTCAAGATAAGAACAGGGAGAGATCATTCAGCAGTTACCGTCATGGGCAAAACAGACTCAACTTGGGGAAAATTAATTTAATTTATTATCAATCAAAATCAGAGTAGGATAATAAGAAATAAAACCAAGTCTCAAAACACCTTCCCCCCCACCCTCCCTTTTTCCTGGGCTCAACTTCACTCCCGATTTTCTACCTCCTCCCTCCCAGCAGTGCAGGGGAATGGGGAATGGGGGTTGTGGTCAGTTCATCACACGTTGTCTCTGCTGCTCCTTCCTCCTCAGGGGGAGGACTCCTCACATTCTTCCCCTGCTTCAGTGTGGGGTCCCTCCCACAGGAGACAGTCCTCCACAAACTTCTCCAATGTGAGTCCTTCCCATGGGCTGCAGTTCTTCACAAACTGGTCCAGCCTGGGTCCCTTCCTCGGGGTGCCATCCTTCAGGAACAGACTGCTCCAGCATGGGTCCCCCACGGGGTCACAGGTCCTGCCAGCAAACCTGCTCCAGCCTGGGCTCCTCTCTCCACAGGGCCTCAGGTCCTGCCAGGAGCTTGCTCCAGTGCGGGCTTCCCATGGGGTCCTGGAGCATCTCCTCCCCCTCCTTCTTCACTGACCTTGGTGTCTGCAGAGTTGTTTCTCTAAGATAATCTCACTCCTCTCTCTGGCTGCAAATTGCCGTGCCTTTTTTTTTTCTCCTTCTTAACTATGTTACCCTAGAGGTGCTACCACCATAGCTGATGGGCTCGGCCTTGGCCAGCAGTGGGTCTGTCTTAGAGCCGTCTGGCATTGGTTCTATCAGACATAGGGAAAGCTTCTAGCACCTTCTCACAGACACCACCCTTGCAGCCCCTCACCAAAGCTTACCATGGAAACCCAATACAATAAATTTAAAAAAAATTGCAAAACCTGAAGCATTGGCACTGCCTTTTACAGGGATTACCAGGGCAGAGGGAGGAACAGAGCTCAGATAAAACACAGGAGGAGAATTTCTCACAGTGGGACATGTTCGTGGCATCCCCACCCTGTGCAGTGGGTGAAGCTGTGAAGGCTGAGCTCCAAGAGGCCACTGAGGGTTCCCCATTAAGTTGGGGCATTTGGGCCACTGTAAGCACTGGAAGGACAGGGCAGGATGTTCTAGCCCTTGAACAGCCCATTTTCCACAAAATGCAGAATAGTGCCACACAGGTCACCTTACATGCATGCTGATCCTGCCCTCCCGAACGGCACTGTGACTCAGGGCAACTTTTTTGCCTTGCATTCCCAGTAGCCTAAAAGAGATCAGAAAACTTGGAGGCTCTTTTCAGGAAACGTGTACTATCCTAAAGGGTTTTTCTTACTGCATGAACTGTCCCCCAGAGAATCAGCAGACCTTGTGGTCTGTAATGCCCATCCAAAGGCTGAGGTAATGCTTCTTACTGCTAGAAAGAGCCCTGCCTCTGGCTGCACATGGGGAGAGAATAAAGCTTGTAACTCAGGAAGGAGACAGTCATAGTATCTGTTTGTAATGGGCAAGAAGGAACTGCTTATTGGGTGGGTATAAAAGAAACCTTTAGTTCCAGCCAGGATAGTCTAATGCAGTAGCCAAGTGGTGGGAAAGAGCACAGTATCACCAGGCAGGGAGGCTTTTGGGAGGACAAATACTGTTCTTTACCCTCACAGAGCAGCAAGTTTTATCTTCTTGATCAAACTGCAAGGCTGATCTAAATGCCATTTTAAAGAAAACCAAAATTATTTATATGTGCTGTAATTGGAAGTAAGGGCAGGAGTGACACTGGTGTTATCTCTGCTTGCTGCTCTCTATAGCCAATGCAGCTGGTCTTCCTCCATGCAACTCAGAGTAACTGTTGATTTTTGCAGAGATGGTGTAACTCTGACACCAATGGAGTTAAATTTATGAAAGAGACTCCAAAACCTCAAAAAAAAAGGGAAATTTTAGCTGCTGTGCACTGATAGACCCAGTAAATAGCTATTATCATTGTAGGCAGGAGGGTGTTACACTGCCTGGATTCACCAAGGAGCAGTGTCCTGCTTCCCTGCAGTTTGCAAATGCTGAGAGTCAGCAAATCAGTAATTGCAGCTTCAAACTAATATCACTTTCTTTTTTTTTTCCTGCATAGCCTTCTGGCACTCTATAAAAAGATCTGGCACACTTCATAGGACTAGGCGGCTTTGAAGCAGCGGAGTCATTTGAGTGTGAAACTTTGATTTCCTGTGTCTTGAAATGAACTGTTATTTCTATCTTTCCTTTTCAGAAAACCCCCACAGCTCATGCCATGAAGGAGGAGAACTTTCTTCGTCGCAGGTTCTCCCTCTGTCCGGCCTCATCCACCCCTCAGAAGGTCGATCCTCGCAAGCTGACACGCAATCTGTTCTTTGGGACTGACAATGACATCTACCCACTCAGCCCAGGTCGGTTTCTGGTGTGTCAGTGCAGAAAGGAGTATGTCTCAGGTGCATGACTGCAACTAGATATTTTAGCATGCTGCCAAGAAACAGAGAGTAAGAAGTTAATGTGAAAGAGAGAGAGAAGCTGTTGCAACACAGGTATTACTGGATCCCAGACAGTGCTGCTTTCATGGTGCTATTGCCTTTCATTGCCATGTTGTTAAGTGGGGATGGAGAGCATCGGAGTTGGGGTTCATAACCATTTGAACGCTGCACAGCCTCACATATCAAAAATGATTAACATTTTCAGGTTCTTCCACTTTGGGGTGCTTGTTGTGTTTCACCCTAAGCGTTGCACTCGTTTAAGATTTACTGGCCCCATTTGCAGACGTTTAGTATCAGATTTCCCTGTTCAGACTTAAAGCCCAGGATAAATATTACAAGAGCAGACTTTCTGTGGTTAATATTCTGTAAATATCTACAAGCACTACAGGTACCAGGAATCTTGACAGGTTGCAGTGAATGGCAGACTGGTTTTAAGTGTTCTTTTTACATCTTTTTTGCTTTGAATTTCCTAGCACCCTTTTTTAAGGAAATAGAGCTTATTTTATTGTTTCAGAATTTGTTGTTCACAATAAACACTCAAGTTTTTCCTTGATTGCTGTCTGCAAACAATGCTTCAGTTCTAGGCTGTAAACAAGTGCTTCAGGAAACAGTCACAAGTTTGTGGAACTGTCATTTGCAGCTGCCATGTCAGTGCTAAATAATCAAACCTCACAGCACCTTCATGAGCTCTCAAAACACTGAAATCTAAAGAACATAGCATCTGTCAAAAGGTTTCACTGTTCATATAGATGTAACACCTGACGGACTCTCTGGGCTTTGCAGATGTGGAGCAAAACCAGGTCTGGGTTTCCTGAGCTAATTGTTTTTAAGTGCAAAGCTTTCATGGGCTTCTGATTTCACAGGTATTTCTATTTGTGGGTGTCTTCTTCAAGGCAATGGGGAGCCTATTTTCAGCAGTGCTGACTAATCCTGGCTGTCACTGAGGTCTCTGGAAGCTTGAACAACCTTTTGGTAATCAAATTGAAAACAACTTAAAATGGGACACCTAAAATCTCATACATTTCAAACCTGTAGGGACTTCTGAACAGCTAGCTGCACATAAGTACAGTCCATACAAATGTATGGTAAGTAAATAGCTGTTTCACTTCTGCTATCCTTGGGAGCTGAAGGGATGATTTTACAGGCTGTAGTCACTTTCCCTTGCTTTGGGGAGCTGGAGAGCCACAGCTTAGGGTTTGCCAATTCTTCAGTTCTTACCAGCATTTTCAGTGCTAAAAAAGTTACAGACTTCCTCACAGAGGTATTTCAGTGCTATAATCTCTCAGAAACCAGGGAAAGTTGAGGGTTTCAGCATGGAGGAGGTAGCTGGAAGAGTTGGTCTCTTCCTCAGCTTTCCCTATCACCTTGTTTGTCCTTGATCCCTGCTGGCAGCCAGACCAAACAGCCTTTGCTGGGCTTAGCAGAACAAGTGCCTTGAGCCATGCTGGAGCTTTTGTTCTGCTGCGCAGTTCTCCTGAGTAACCTCCAGCACGGGCATCAGCAAGGGCGGTAGCCCTCTGTATTGCAAAGGAAGAGCCAAAGAGGTTTGTAAAGGAGAGAATATCCCTTTTAAGCAAACAAGTTACTGCTTCAGCCAAGGATTTTATTGCAGAGAGTCCGGGTTTTTGTCTATCCTTAGTTTTTTTTTTTAATCCATTAATTTCTTTGCTGGTCTGTACAGATCTGCCTTGTCTCTTTGTTTTCCTCACACTTCCCTTAAGAAGTAACTGTCATTCCTCATGCTCAGTTGCCATTTCCTGTGGCGGGCTCTCCTTTCGCTCCTTTGCTGCTGCTTCTGCCTCGTTTTCCTCTCAGCCTTGTGCGCTTCCCCTCACCTTCTCCCATCCCTTTGAAGGATGCTGCTATGATACTGGATAATCCAGAGGTCTATGTCCATAAGCTGCATCCAATATTTGTCTGTCCCACATTTTTCTCTGTTGTTTTACATGAACTTTCAGTTCCTGAAGCTTTTCCAGTGGTTTGTGTTTTGCTGCCTGACCCCAGCAGATTTTCTTTATGAGGACACTGAGCTGATGGTGTTGGGTGGGTGCTGTGGGCAGTGCGGGCAGCAAAGCCCAGTGATTTCCTGCCAGGAATTTGGTGGGTTGTGAGGTGGCTGGAACTGCAGGTATCACAGGACCAACACCTAGGATTAGCCCTCCAACAACGAAGGTGTGCAAGTAAGTAATTCAGTGAGAAGGGAGTGACAGACTTTACACCTCAGGCAAGCTACACTATGAAGATTCAGTTCAACAAGAGGATTTTTTTTTAAAGGAAACATGGGAAATGCAGAGGGCACTATCTGAAATAACACTTTGGACTTTTGGCCTCTTGCTTGCATACAGAGATGCTATTGATCCTGGTAACTAAAAGAAATTTGAGGAAGACTTTTTCTTTTTATAGGAAGTTCACAAACTAGAGAGGCATGAATTCATGTTCCTTGCCCTGCCTGTCTTTCACTTAGCAATAAGAAGAGAGAATCTTTCTCTATTTTCTTTTTCAGAGGGTAGGAAATTTATTGGGGGAGTAGCTAAGAGACGTTTTAGAGAATCTCCCTTTTTGACTAGCCTGTGAGATCACAGTGGCTTTAAGTAAACGTTTAGATTAGCCTATCTGCATCCTCAGAGGTGCACTGTCATGAATATGGGAATTTTACTCTGATTGGTAGAGACATGGAACTAAATTTCGGTCTGGAGTACACACTGGGCCATGTGGATGATATTTACAGCAGTAACAGATTTTATTCTCGGTAGTTTTGCCACACATCAGAGCCTGTGTTCCCTCTTGGATACCTTATCAGAAAGCCTATAAAATAATAGTTCATGCTGCGTGGAGCTAATCATGAATTCCTCAATAACCCAGTAATTTTGCTTCCCGTTATCATTGATCAGTCGTACTTGCTGTATCATTCTTTATAAAGGGGAAAGGCAAATGCACCTGTAAGATTGATGCCCAGCAGAAAACCAAAGGAAAGGAATAGTTACCGTTCTGGAAAGGAGGTCAATACTTATTTTTCCTGTGCATGACAGCAATGGGATAAAGGAAGGTACCAGTAATTCTACTCTGTAACTGCAAGACTGGTGTGTTGGCAGTTTTCTTCATGGTGTGGTGAAGGCTACTTCCATAAGCACCACTGATTCCCTTCCCAAAATCTTTTACTTTATTTGGTGCAAAACTTCTGGGCTACTTTGTGGAGGACCCTTCTTTGCATGCCCTGCCAGCAGCCAGCACTTTAAGTCAGGAGAGGTTCAGTTCTATTTCTGTTGAGGGCGTTATGTTTTCTTGATCAGGGAGATAAGAATTTCAGCTTCCATAGCCGGTTAATATTTAGCTTCTTTTATGTTTTTATGTGGTTTCCTATTTATTTTCTCGCGGTGGCTATGACTGTTGTGCTATGCGTGGGACTCTTGCTTTTGGGCTTTCTGTGCACTTAATTATGTGCAGGTTTTTGAGAAACTTGCACATTGTTTCAATGAAGTTTGCTTTCCAAACAAGGGCTGGCTCTCTCCTTCCACATGGCTGCAGCATGTCTGCTTGAGACAGACAGCAAAGATAGCTCTCCTCCAAAAAACAACCTTTCACTCACAAGTGCCAGTAGGCTTAACGAGTTTGGCATAAGAAACCAGTATATGCTGTTTCATAAACATACATTACGAATCCTTTTGGGGATATGGTAAGAGTGAACAGTTGCATGTTCCCATTTTTCATGATATTCTGTGAGCAGGATGGTCCAGAACCTCAGGAACAGATCTCATTGTTCAGGTGCAAAGCCTTTTAACTGTGTTACTGAGAGAGGGCAGAAATCTCTCATGTCCAGGCTTTTTGTATGGATACCAGCTTGGAGTTAAGCTTGCTCTAAGAAATGAGACATAATAAAGATGGATGTGAATTCCGTTGTGCTGATAGACGCTGTTCCCTCGGAGCAGGCAGCAGCTGATTCCCATTAACTTTACTTGAACTTTTAGACCATACGTTACTTTCCCATACATGCGCAGAAAAAACTTCGTGGGAAACAAGTGCAGCAGCTACATGGCTTTGTGAGTGTATTCCTACCTCCTCTGCCTCTGTCGAGGAGAGTGGGGGCTTTAGAGAGGAAAGCACCATCAAAGAAAGAGAAGCTATGGAGATACAGGTCCTAATCCATCCACAGCAGTGCTTGTGGCCATCCCACTTGTCATGGTGGCACAAGGGGACTGTCAAATATCCAGCCACTTGGGATTTTCTCCTGCCCATGGACATTAGGTTTCCAAGTGCGTTATCTAGGGTGCACGGAGAGGAGTGACAGTTACAAAACTAGGTTGCACTGCCTTCCTGTGTGACTGTGTAGGTCCTTCCTCTGCTTCAGTTCCCTACGTGAGCAACGAACATGCTGTCCCTATTCTCCTAGGCATGGAAGTGTTTGCTTTCTGTGTCAGCACAGCTGCATACACGTGGCACAATTGCAGCACTGTGCCACAGGGGGAGAAATGCATCTGAAACCCTCACCACCCTTAGTCACCATGTGGAAAGTTGAACTCCTTCTAGGGACAATTGTCCCACAAAGCCTTTTCTTAAATTTAAGAGTTGATACACCAAACTGACTGGTAATACCTGTAAAAAGGGTATGTTTTTTGTCTTGTCTCTTTATCAGTGAAATCCTGGAAGTGCAGTTGTAGTTCCAGTTATAATGGGACATGCTTGTTCTCTTACATGTCCCATGATGTAGGTGCAGAACATGGCTCTGAGGATATTTAACTTTTAATAAGCTTCGGTGACTGGCTTTTCTAATGTTGCTTAGCTTCTTAATGTCTTCTCTGAAAACTCCAGAAGACGTTGTGGCTTCTGACAGATCTGCAACAACTTCTGCTGACTTCAGGAGAATCAGGATTTTCCCTTGCTGGTTTTGGATTTGGTGGTGTTTCCAAGACTGGCCCACACAGTGTTTAAAAACATTTTTAACAGTTCCCATGTTTGCAATGTGCTACAAGTGGATTATATTTCACTGTCTCATTGGTCTTTACTGCATGCAGTATTCTGAAGCTCTGATTGCTAACAATTTTGGGAAGAAAACTACATTGCAAGTGGATAACAATGACTGTCTTGGCACTAAAAAGCTAGTCTCATGAGATGCTTTTTTTTTTCCTTTTTTTTTAATGGAAGCTCTATCCTTTCCTTTAGTCTAAGGACATGATTGCATTTGGCAAAAAGAACAGAATTTGTCATTACATTATATTGCTTGGACTAGGACTACACACACTCATTAGTATATAATGTGTCTAATGTACTGCAAGTTTAGTATATTTCGGTAGTGGAAATAGATCTTTACAATGATTGGAAAATGTCACATTGTTCATAAATACTATTTGTTAATTGAAAATGTTTCTTTTTTTTAACAAATAACTTGGTCAGAAGACATTGATCTTTTGCAGGGTTTTGTTGGGTTTTTTTTTTACTGATTATGTCTAGATGCTGTTCTGTCTTCTGTAACGTTTTATGACCATGGTTATTATTTGTCAAACAAAGCATGCTATCAAGTGCATCTGTGTATAGTTGCCAGATACTGACCAAGGAGGATAATGTATTGAATAGCTGCTTATTAACTGAATTCCATTTTGTATTTGCGTTGAATGAGGCATGGGGTATGTAAGAAAAGAACAGACTGTGGTAATGTAATTAAAGACTGCATCATAATGGAGACACAGAAGGGAGCTGATTAAAGATGCATAAGCAACCTTACTTCTGTTTTTTTTCCAGCCTTCATATGCTGGACTTTACAGCCACCATGTTGGGTTACCACGGTGTTTTCAGACCTAACTTTTAAGCAGTACTTATTGCGTAGCCCAAACATGTGGGTCCAGGCTATTTCAAGCTCTGCAAGATCCCTCTGTGATCCTGGCGTGCCCACTCCTGCTCATGATACCTTCTCCTGCTTGCTGTTAGCAGTAGCCCTTCTAACGCCATGAGTAGCCACAGTTTTGCACAGAATTTCTCTGTTTCTGAATCACATTTATTTGTTGCAGGCAAAGACGTGGAAGGGAACAGCCCATCAGCACTGAAAGATGAGACACCACAGACTCCAAACTCCATTAGTAAGGTACTGTGGGATAGGGATCCCATCCCTAGTCTTGCTTTTATTTCTTCTCAGGTTGTTATTAATCATCCTTGATTTTTTTTTTAAAGTCATTGAGAAAGCCTCTCCCTCTGATCCTGCAGGAACTGTGTATGCATGTTTTGAGAGAAAGAAAATGAGTGTTTTTGCTTGGGTGGGATAACAGAGAAGCCCACACTTCCCTCTGACTGATAGCATCTACTGCAGAAGAACGCTGTTTATTTGGGCCTCATTTGGCAGTGTAATTAGATATGAATAATTATGGTTGAAAGGTTGATTTTGCCAGCAGAGGTGTCTCCTCCTGTTCCTGATCAGCAAGGCAATCATAAACCTTAATTGTTTTGGAAAAGAAAGCTGTAATATTTAGTGTAGTGCATAGCATCTGAAACTGAGCCGACATCCTGGGAGAGAGCTCTGGGAATTGGTATAACAGGAGAGGAGCACAAACTGAGCAACATTTCCTGAATGCAACGTTTCAATCCAGCCTGTTATGGAGAGGTAAAACTGAATCTAAAGACCTTGGATCTGGGTGTTCAAAACCTGACTCTGAGTGCCTAGGTTTGATTTCCTGTAGAGATGGAATCAACCTTGTAAATTAGACCTGTCTTTGAGATTCATGTATGGGATTTTTTTGACTGCAGCTCCCTAACATGTTTCTGGAGGGTAACTAGAAATAGAAGCAAGGCCTGTTAATAAATTTTTAACTAAATTTATTCAACTATGAAGCTATAAAATGCAAATGACACCAGCTGAAATGAATATAACATGAAGGAAGCAGCTGCAGACAAGTGATTTCTTATAATACATGAAAATAGGCTCTGTGTCTTCAAATACATTTGGCTGTGCTTGCCTGAAGCTTGCAGGTTTTTCTGCTGGGATGCCTGGGCAGAGGTCAGCACAGGGAGATGGTGATGAGAGGAGCTTTGGGACTATGCACCAAGAGCTTGTGTACATGTCCTCTGCTATTGGTTGGAACCTGGAAAGTTGCAAACCGACCTTGGTTTTGCTTTTTTAGGCAGGTTCCTCATGGGAACCCAGCCTCCCACTTATTCTGGTAGTGGAGAAGCCCAAGGACCAGGTAACTGCATCCAGGGCTTTGTTTTAAAACTAGATGTTTTGCATGCCTTACAAGGAATGGTGTTGAATTCCCAGTGACTCGGGAATGTAAAGAAGAAGGACATTTTCTGGACAGGACAACTCAGAGCACTGAAATGCTGTCTGAAAGGGAGGTTGATTTCTGAGATGCAGGGTGAACGCAAGAGTAGGAATGTATTTATGAGAGGTATCTGGATGAGAGCATGGCCCAGCTGTGTTTTCCCAGCCTCAAGGCCTGCTTTGCTATTTAGTCTCCTACAGGTGTGTTTTTGAAAGGAGAGGTACCCTTGGAAGATTTGGGTGCCCACCTAGGTTTCTGCCATGCTTTGTGTGCACCTGGGAGATGCTGGTGGGTCTCTCCTTGACAGTGTCAAGGAGAGGTAAGAGAAAATGCACAGTGTAAAACAACTGCATCAGATTTGTATTTCAACACAAAGGGGGATCTGAACCTGGACATGAGCTTTGCTTTCACCAACCCAAGACCTTAGTTTTACAACAGCCAAAATTCCTCTGAAACACCAATGGACTAAAAACAGGTATCAAGACCCCAAAACACCAAGCTTCAACTTGCCTACTCACATGCGGGGTTGCAGGCAATTGCTTTGGCTACTGAATGGGCCAGAGCTAGGTTTTTCTTAACTGCCTGAATGTTCTGCTTAGACACATGATGTTTGATTCAGAGACTTTCCTCCTCACTGGACCTGTGCTGTAGTGCCCCGTCATTCTCATTTCACTTTGCTTGGCTTTGCTGTGCTGTACACTACCTTGTTCTTCTCCAGCTGCGTAGCTTTTCTTCTGTCTTGCTTTGCAGTGTCGGTGACAGTAGGGAGTCCCCATTGTGAAATGTCTTGGACCTTAAAAATTTAGGCAAACTGGTAATCAGTTTGCTTAATACTTCATTTTTCACGTCCACTCAGCCCTAAGGCTATAAAATGAAACCTTGCTGTCAGGTGTCCAGAACTGTAAGTAGGGAACTGTCACAGTATTTCAGTTTAAAAATAAATAGCGATTCCACCTACTTGAACCAAAGGAAAGA